AACAACTGAAGTATATTTTGGGGTTTACACAAATAATTATGTATCAGTTACGCTATAGGTGTTGCACCTACACCAGTCTTCTCCCTTTACCCTCATCACGTAATAAGTGAAATATACGACTTTGCATTCGCCACTCATTCAGCTCATCGCAACAAATATCACAACAACTCATCTCTAAACACAGCAAGCCTGCATTATTATATTCACACACATGACAAGGGGGATACAATTTGAGAGAAGAACAAAATTTGAAAACAAGGACAACTTTAAAAAGTTTGTGTATGTCTGTCTGTGGTGTGAAATTATAGAACAGTCTAGAACAGACTCTCAAACAATGTCAGAATATTAATCAATTTAAACAGTTGTATACACATCTATTATTAAAGGAATATAATGATGAATGTAATTGGAAAAGGATTAAATGAGAAAGGTAAGATGAAATTTTAATTAATGGCTATTTGCAGTACTATGTTTTTTGGGGTCTATATTACAAAATGTAAAGGTACAAATGGAATCAAACATATAATTTGGCAAAGATGCTAAAGGATAAATATGTCTCATGTAAAAAGAAGAGATAAATAAAAACAGAAATAGGTGTAAGTTATAGACAAATGATGTACAGTTAAAGTCAGAATTATTAGCCCCCCTGAATTATTAGACTGCTTGTTTATTTTTTCCCCAATTTCTGTTTAACGGAGAGAAGATTTTTTCAGCACATTTCTAAACATAATAGTTTTAGTAACTCATCTCTAATAACTGATTTATTTTATCTTTGCCATGATGACAGTTAATAATATTTGACTAGATATTATTCCAAGACACTTCTATACAGCTTAAAGTGACATTTAAAGGCTTAACTAGGCAAATTAGGTTAACTAGGCAGGTTAGAGTAATTAGGCAAGTTATTGTATAATGATGGTTTGTTCTGTAGACAGTCGAGGAAAAAATATAGCTTAAAGGGGCTAATAATTTTGTCCCTAAAACGGTGTTTAAAAAGTTAAAAACGGCTTTTATTCTAGCCAAAAGAAAACAAAAAAGACTTTCTCCAGAAGAAAAAATATTATCAGACATACTGTGAAAATTTCCTTGCGCTGTTAAACATCATTTGAAAAATATTTTAAAAAGAAGAAAAAAATTTAAAGGGGGCTATTAATTCTGACGTCAACTGTATGTGGTAATGGGGTGAGAAAATTATAAGCTTGTGCTTCATCCCGCTCCATTTTCGACCATGTTGAAATGGATTTTTTGTAAAAGATACTTTATACATGATATTTCTGTTAGTAAATAAATCAAATCAAAACAAATCAAATGATGCAACTTATCCATATGTTTAGGTAAAACAACAACAACAACAACAACAATAAATAACACTCATTATTATTATTATTATTATTATTATTATTTATTATCATCATCATCATCATTATTATTATTATATTGCTAAAACTTCTAATACTACCAATAATAATAAACTTACATAAGAACCAAAATGTCCATCACTGAATATTAGAAAATATCCATAGAAAATATCCACAGCACATACAGCCTGATTAATTATTAAGAAAATAACCACAGTGATAAGCAATCATTATGTTTTGACTGAAAAAAGGCTAAGTCTAACTTGAATTTATGGACATTTCCGGTGATGATCATGCCGCCTGACTCTCTCACACACACACCTGATGCCAATGGATGCAGACCCCTAAAAATAAAGACAATCGCCTCTGACTGCTACACACCGTTAAACCCTTGCAATGCTTTCCATCATCTTCTGCCACAAACACCCTGTGCGTGTCAATCTGACGCTCCTGACCACAACCAGAGAGCAACAGAGAGAGCAAGAGAGAGATAGAGAAAGAGAGATAGAGAGAGAGAGAGAGAGAGAGAGAGAGAGAGAGAGAGAGAGAGAGAGAGAATATTTGGTGCAGGGCGTCTAGACTGTATTCATGATCAATCTGTCTGGCCCTGCTGCAGACGGAGAGATGGCAAACTCGATTAGAGTCGAAACATTTCCTCAGCTTGTGTCTCGCTCTCAGCATATTTGCTCTTCAGTAACGTCTATCAGCATCATTGCTTTCTCTCCCTAAAGCAGTGTGTGGCGGCTGCATGTCTGCCGGGGAAGTGAGCAGCACTGACTGAAGACACAGCAAGAACACATGACTGATTTCAACACAGCCCACAGCACAGAGACACACGCAGACACACTGACGTACTTTATATTTTTCTGGGGATTGTGTTGGTGTGTGTGTGTTCATGCTCTGGTTTGCTCAAACTTAAAGAAGAGGAAGAAAAAAAAGTGTGACAGCAGTTCAAAGCTGACTGGCTGATACAAACTTGGGCCAGAGGCTGGATGAAATATTGAATATTTACCATGATTTCAGTAAAAAAATAAACCTTTTCGGTTCATTCAAGAGCAAATATTCAGTGGCCACTAGAAAAGAAAATCTTTGCATTTATGTCACTATCGTGTTTTACAAAAAAATTATTTTCCAAAAATGTATGTTAATTCTGTGATCTACTTTTTGTGAAACAATTTAAAATAAAAAAATGCAATTATTATTACACTATTAAAAAACAAGTTAAGTTTTATATTTCATATTAAAAAAACAAAAATGAACCATTTAAAATGAAGTAAACAACTGTTTTTAATGGTATTTTTAAAGCGTAATTTCCTTAATACAAGACTTTTTACTGTACTAATTATTTGAAAAACACAAATAATCCTTAAACATCTATACTTTAAAACTACAAACAACATTTTGAATATTTTTAAGAGAGACACATTTCAATGTGGTAATGTCATTGGCCCATTAACATTTCCTGCTATCATCACATTTCATAACTGTAACAAGAGGCAATTCAATCCTATCTTCATGTAAAAACTTCCAAGAGTCCAAAAAGATCCACATATTTATGAATAATGTTATGGTAGTAATGGAAACTAAAAATGTAAAACGGGAAATACATTAGGACTACTGTTATTGTTTACATATCTCAAAATGGTCAATATACTGTCTATATACACACACATATACACATATACACATATACATATATATATATATATATATATATATATATATATATATATATATATATATATATGAGCAATTTCACAATAGTAGCAGTGCGATGTGGCTGTATATCGGTTCTGATGGGAGGTGTGGCACAAGGCCGCAGACAGAGTGCCTTAGTGTCCCACCAGTGACAATATACAGCTATGTTGCACGGCTACAAGAGTAATAATATATATATATATATATATATATATATATATATATATAAAATAAGAAAATCAAACACAAAGAGTCCAAAACCCTTTTGTACAAGGAAAATATTTTCTTAGTTTCTTTTTTGCTTCTTAATTGCTTCACATCTGCAGCTTTACAATACTATACTGAAATACAGCTTTACAGTATTACAATGATTCTCTAGCGTAATGTCTAATGTGATGACAAAACAGGTGACTTTGCTCACAATTTAAAAATGATAAGGCTGAACGCCATAAAATGCCATCAGTCTACAGAGTTTTTTAAGTATTTCTTTATTGCTATCGGAATAATTAACCCCGAAAAAAACCAAAGCAGCACAATCACTACCAGATATCTGTTGTGTTTGTAATAAGAAAAACTCTAAACACATGCGGGCATTTCTTCTTTCTTTCTATTTATTGGACTAGTCTGCAGCATCGAAAACAGAAGACTCATTAGAAACAAACAGATGGCCAACAAAAAAAGTAACTCAGAGTTATACAAAGAGTGGCCAACACGAAATACATACATTCCTAATATGTGAGTCCCATCTTACATGCAATACACTACAATTACTATGATACAAATACAGCACTACAACATACAAAAGAGAGAGGTCGTCTTAGAAAGCCACTTAACTGTTTTATAATGGTTTGATAACCTGTAGTTTCAAGGTGTGCTGTGTTTTTCGCCTCTAAGAGTTTATTATCCGGTATCTCCGCTGAATCTTTTCATTCATTCATTTTCTTGTCGGCTTAGTCCCTTTATTAATCCAGGGTCGCCACAGAGGAATGAACCGCCAACCTATCCATTACGTTTTTACGCAGAAGATGCCCTTCCAGCCGCAACCCATCTCTGGGAAACATCCACACATAAATTCACACCCACTCATACACTACGGACAATTTAGCCTACCCAATTCACCTGTACTGCGTGTCTTTGGACTGTGGGGGAAACCGGAGCACCCTGAGGAAACGCACGCGAAGGCAGGTAGAACATGCAAACTCCACAAAGAAACGCCAACTGAGCCGAGGTTCGAACCAGCGACCTTCTTGCAGTGAGGCGACAGCGCTACCTACTGCGCGACAGCCTCGCTCCTTCCGCTGAATCTTTGAAATTATAAATATTTAAAATAGGCACTATCTTTATAAATAAACTGCACAGTTGTTATCTAAAAACTACATTCTCACATGAAAAGCAAGTATGTTATGTTTTCCAACAGCTGCAATATTTGTCAAAATGTAGTGAGTTTATGGATCTCCTGTCCCTCTATGTGGGCGGAGTAATACAGAAGGATGAAGAGGCTCTACGAGTGCTGATATTGCAGAATATCGCACAGCAATACTTGCATACATACATACACACATCCTTTTTTTGTAACAGGGGCAGTTCTATAATTTAGCACTGATTATACTTTCATGCCAATCATGAAAATATAATAAAATAAGTTTAAATATTCAGTAGTTAAATACATGTCTATCAAAGAGATATGAAAGAATAAAATGAAAAAAAAAGTGAGATATTATTAACCCACTATTCATGCACTGTAATTCTATATGATCAGATCCTATTTAACACACACACAAACACTCTGCGTTTGGAGATGCCACTTAACACCCGCCTCACACTCACACCCCTGCAGGTGGCATTGGAGACAAAAGCCTGAGGAATCCAGAAGAAAAACGAGCAAACGTCCTGCTCGCCCTCATGAGAAAGCAGCACAGAGCTAGTTTTGAGAGATGGACTCACAGCTGAAGATGGCAGATGCAGGATGCTGAGTGGAGATGGGGCAGTGCTCCTCATCACTGTTGTCTCCGCAGTGGTTGAGCTGATCACAGACCTGTGAGCCCACATTTAGACATCTGCCGTTTGTGCACAGGAATCTGCACTCTGGACACACACACACGCACACACAAACACAAACAAACACAAGAAAACCGCAATGAGTCACTTAATCAATAACAGTCAAGAGTCCATCTCAGTTTTCACACCTGCCGCATCAGAGTATGTCAAACTTATAGCCTTGGTCTACGCTGGTATTTTTCGCAAAAGGAGACGTTCTCTAGATGAGACCATATTGAAGTTATTCTAGGTATTAAATGGTTAATGTTGGGGTCTGGATGTTGAGAATATTTTTATTAGAAGAATAATACTTATAATTATAAAAACATTTGTATAAAAAGGGACAGAGACAACCTTTTTAGAAATTAAAAGATTCTTGAAAATGCTCAGCTTGACTAAATTACAATCTTAATTTTATTCCGCAAACTGTAAATATTTTTCATTCAATTGAACAATTTTAAAAAAAAATTTTATTTACATAAAATACCCAAGATGTTGCACACTTTTAGATTTGAAATCATTTTTAACACAATAACACAGTACCAATGCTTGAACTTTGAAAGAGTTATGAAATCAATATTTGGTGGAATAACCTTGACTTAATCATGACAAATGAAGACATCTGTTTATTCTGACCAAATGTAGTTTGGTCAGAATAAAATGACCAAAAACACAATTCTTTAAATGCCAAGTTCGGAAATGTCAAACCCATGCCTAAAAATCCAGAGAAACTGAAGCTGCGTCCGAAATCGCATACTTCCATACCATAGAGTATGCTAAATACAGTATGTGAGCCGAGTAGCATGTCCAAATTCATAGAATTCGAAAAACATGCGAGAAGTACCCGGATGACCCACTACTTCGGCTAGATTCTGATCCCGCTATCCCATAATGCACCACAAGTGAAAAAGGCAGATGTAGTACAGTCGAGTATAACGTTTAAATTTTAATGCAGTACTTACCGAGCAGTAGGCAATTTCAGACGTAGCCTAAGGCTTTTTTATATAATACATTTATTGTGTCTCACAAGTCAAAGATGAAATGCAATGAACGCACAGTGTAGAGCTGGCCGATTAATCAAAAATGAATCGAAATCGACATTCAGAACCTCTAATCGATAACGTTTTACCAAATCGATTTTTTCAATTACTTTCCTTACCATGCGTGGAGTCACGTGACCTAGCTTTGGTAAAAGCTGATGTGTACTTGTGCATCAAGCGCTCGCATATGATCATATGGGCTGAGTTTTTACAAGTGACAAGTCCAATGGAGGAGGTCAATATGGATACTTTTGTTTTGTGTTTATCTTATGAGTAAAGTTAACGAAATCACTCGACGTAAAAGTATAATTCAGCTAAGTCTGATTTCTACTTCTGTGGTCCCTTTGCAGCCACATCAGATCTCTGGTCAAGTAGGACGATGGAATCATTCTTGAGTACCTTACTTTGCACTACACTGATGATGATTGACAGCTGCGCCTGAGATCCCTTGAGACGGCATATTTTCTATTACATTAAAATTACTGTTAATGCACTGTTTGAAATATTATTTACAGGATAAACAAGGGTGATTTAATTAGAGGAGATACTGCTTATTTTCTACACTGAAAATAAAAAACATCAAAAAAGTGCAAGCTATTTGTTTTAACTTTTATAAGTGAAACCGTTTACTGTTTGTTTTAATCAATGTGTTTTAATTTCAGTTGTTTAACATGGATGTTCAATAAATAATCAAGAGATAGTAGATCGTGTGCGTTTCCTTCAATTATTTTAAAATCAGTTAATGCACCCTTCATTCAAAAATGTATCACTTGTAATATGTGAGCATATTTACTGTACAAAACTTGTCATTAAATTAAAAGGGCAAAAGCATAGAAAAATAAAATAAAATTATTGTACATTAGTCGAGATCAAGTCAAAACGTTCAATTAATCGAGGTTTTGATTAAGGTTAAATTGTTCTGCACAGTGGCTTTTGGAGGTATGAAATGCGCTTTGGTATTGCACATGATCAAGACATTTGACTTTCCAATAAGCAGTTTTTATTGCGATATTCCAAAATGCATAATAAAATATGCACAATAACTGACAAAAGTTTTGTTGCCTATCCAAGTTTTAGAAATAACCAATAATAACTTGACTTCTAGTTGATCATTTAGTATCAGAAGTGACTTTTATGAAAGGCAAAGACCTCTAGATTACGCTTATTTTACCAAAATAAAATATGATCATGCCTTAATTTTTAATTATTTAATTAGCACAGTAAATACTGATTTTGCTTAGACAAAAGTCTATTCACTTAACAGCAAATAATGTAAAGTAAAGAATATAAATACATGGTGCAGAGGAACAAGAATTATTATTGTGTATGACTCCCATGAGCTTGGAGGACTTCATCCAAACATCTCTACTATGACTCAAATAACTTATTAATAAAGTCATCTGGAATGGCAAAGAAAAAGTTCTTGCAGGACTCCAGAGTTCATCAAGATTCTTTGGATTTATCTTCAATATCTCCTCCATCTTACCCCAGACATGCTCAATAATGTTTAAGTTTGGTGACCGGGTTGGCCAATCCTGGAGCACCTTGAACTTCTTTGCGTTTTCCTGCTGAACAATTTGTCCTCTCCTGTGGTTTGTAATGTTATGGGCAGCTTTATTATTTTTTAAAAAAAAATAATAATAATAATAAAATAAAATAAAATAAAATAAAAATAAAACAAAACAAAACAAAACAAAAAAAACAAAACAAAACAAAACAAAACAAAACAAAATTAAATTAAATCAAATGTACTGTTTTTTAGGTAAATGAAGAGCCAAAACAAACCAACAAAAAAGTTTTCCCGGTTGAAATCTGTGTTGTGCAAATACGTCTTCAGTTCCTGACCTGTTGAAACTTGTGCCTAGTGCAGGATATGATTACTTCAAAGTTTACATTTTAAAGGACTTTAAAACAAAACTCAAATGCCTAAAATTCTGCAGACCAGAGGTGTGGACTCGAGTCATGTGACTTGGACTCGAGTCAGACTCGAGTCATGAATTTGATGACTTCAGACTTGACTTGACAAAATATGAAAAGACTTGCAACTCGACTTGGACTTGAACATGAATGACTCGGACTTTCACTTGGACTTGCGCCTATTGACTTGTAAAGACTTGCTCCTTTCTATAAAAAGCCCAAAGATAAAAAAGTATGTTGACACGGAACATTCTATCTCTACATCTGCGTGTGTGAGACAGAGAGCATGCACGCATACTTTCGACCACTAGCGCTTTGTGGCGCACTTCCGTGTTTTTGCACCAGCGGGAAATTTGAAGATGCCATTTTCATTCTGACTAGGAGAGTGAAATAAACACATCTTCCATCTGCTCCTTTTGTTTTATTCAGCGGATTTACAACATCTGTCAAAGGTAAGAGACTTTACTACTCGCAATGTGTTACTGTGCAAAAGCATTGTTTTACTGTTGTGCATAAGTTAATGAACTTCAGTTTTTTATTAAACCAAATTTACCCTCTTGTGATTTATTTCACATAATTATGAATAAACATGGCTGTAATTTATGTTTTTGCACTTGGTCATTTGTGTCAATGCACATATTATGTTTTATTTTTGTGTTTTGCCCATCCTCTGACAGTATTTTCTAACTATTTAATTAGTAGTAACATTAATTACATGCCATAATAACTAGATATATATAATTTACTTTTAAAGCTCTTAAAACTGTGAAAAAAAGTGTTTTGTTATTTTTTGGTGACATTTTGCAATAAGGTTTTTTAAATTAATCTATGTACTAACATGAACTAATAATGAACTATACTTTTTAACCTTTATTAATTATAGTTTAACATTTACTATTGCATTATTACAATTTAAAGGTATGCTTGTTAACATTAATGTTAATGCACTGTGATTTAACAAGAATTAACCAATAATTTTATTTCCATTAATTAATGAATACTGTAATGAACTGTAACTGTACTGCACTGCATTGTTTGTTCACATTAGTTCATAAACTTAATTAATTAATACAACCTTATTGTAAAGTGTTACCTTTTTCATATTTTGGATTGATACTATTAATTTTATTTAGTATTTAAAACCTTAAAAGTATTTGTATTATTGTTGATCTTATGCAATATATTAGTCCTCTATATTGTTTTTATTTAAATTTGTATTGTGAGATTGTAATGTAATGCATATATATTGTTGAATTTCTGTTTGTTTGTTTTTCTGTATTTCCCCCTCTATATATTCAAGGCTTATCTACTATTTTTAAAGTACTTAAAACCAACCATCTAATAAAAAATACAATTAACAATCACATTTTGTTTCTTGAGTGTCTTTGTTCCTGTTTTGTAGGACTCTTATTTTAACATTTCATTTGGAAACACTTGACTGATCATTCAATTAAAGTTTTACCTTTATTATTCCATCACTCAATCAGATCATTTAATTGTGAGTTGAATTACTCCATTTGTAATTGTTTTTTTAAATAAACTAAAAACGAAGACTTGTTTTATTCGGTTTGTTGAATGTGAACTTCTCTACTTTACATATTAAAAGATATTTAAAACCACTATGAATGTATTTAAACTAATATTTAAATTTATATAACTGTTTCACTGTGGGTATATCTATTTTAATTTATTTAGCACATTTATTGGCTATTCAAACATAAAAACAAGTTTTAGATAATTCGTGGCTCTAATAAATTGTTAAACATTACAATATCCCTGCAGAAAAATCCAGCTTAAACCAGCCTAGGCTGGTTCAAGCTGTTTTTTTCAGTAGGGATTTTTGACAAAATGGTCTAAAATGATAGTTTACAAGTGCCTAAGTGGGATTCGAACCCCGTTCTTTATGAAAAGAAAGACAAATCTGATTGGCTCTGACATTACTTTCACCAATGGGCAGGTACTTCAATTTGATTGGCTGGTCTCTCGCACGCGTATTCAGTCTCACTGCCTTTGCTTGACTTTTTTTCCACACTGGCGCCTCAAACCTTTCCTGCTATTGCTCTCCAGAGATCCTGCTGGTAAATTGATTAT